AAGTCTCGGTGCCAAAAAACAGATAGGTGCGGGGTGGCCATCTAACCACCCTGTGCGACCGGTCCTCAACATTTCTCTCGCAAGTCCCATAAGGGACACGTCTTACGACATTTTAAAAACTATGAAAAATTCAAGACATGATAAAGCTGATAATAACGAAAAAGAATTTTCAAAAAACGGCATTCACTCAGATAGCCCAATAACGTGCGTAATACCCGAGATGATGAATTTGACGACCAAGATGAAGATCAAGAGGGTCAAGAGTCTGAAGAAATCTCTCAACCTGATGAACTTAGTTCCCATGTTGAACAATTCAAGAAAAGGTTTGATGGTGACTAAACGGCTATCATCGAAGAGACGATTGACGTAAACCTAAGAACTAAGAAGGACCCAAGGTTAACCAAGATTGGATCCTCCTCATCTTCTAAGAAGCGGGAAAATGTGATTTCCTTTCTCAAGGAATATCGCGATGTCTTCGCCTGGTCATATGATGATATGCCAGGGCTAGATCCCACATTGGTACAACATCACCTAATATTCAACGAAGGGGCAAAGCCTGTAAGGCAGAAACTCCAACGTCAAAAGCCTTGAACTCAAAATTAAAGAAGAAATCGACAAACTGCTTAAGGCGAAGTTCATTACTCCTGTTGACTATTCAGAATGGTTGGCCAACATAGTGCTGGTACCCAAGAAAGATGGGAGGATCCGAGTGTGTGTCGATTACAGAGACTTTAATAAGGCATGTCCCAAAGACAAGTTTCCTTTACCAAACATAGATGCCTTGGTCGACAACACTGCGGGTCACGAGATGTTATCATTCATGGACGGCTTCTTGGGTTACATCAACTCAAACTCAATCCGGAAACATCAACTCAAACTCAATCTGCAAAAATGTGCCTTTGGAGTTGAATCCGACAAATTACTAGGCTTTATAGTAAGCCAAAGAGGCTTTGAGGTGGACCCATCCAAAATACGAGCCATCATTGAAATGCCTCCTCCCCGGAACATCAGAGAAATCTGTGGGCTTCAAGGTCACATACAAGCCATAAGGCATTTTATTTCACAACTGGCGGATAAGTGTACACCATTCAATAGATTCCTTAAGAAGGACACCCCATTCATATGGGACAATGAATGACAAGAAGCGTTCGATCAAATCAAGGAGTACCTCACCAAACCTCCCAACCTTAGTCCTCCTAGTCTAGATAAACCCCGGTTCCTAAACATGTTAGTGAAAGACAAGACCATGGGGGTAGTGTTAGGACAATATAACGACCATGGAAAAGAACAAACGATATACTATATCAGCAAAACCATGGTCGATTATGAGACAAGATACACGGATGTGGAGAAACACTGCTTAACACTTGTGTGGGCCATGCAAAAACTAAGAACTTATTTCTTATCTCATTCTGTCAAGCTCATATAAAAAATTGACCCACTCAAGTACCTATTGGAGAAGACCATCCTCAACGGACATTTGACGAAGTGGAGAATGCTATCGAGCGAGTTCGAGATCGAGTATGTCACTCAAAAATCGATCAAAGGACAAGTCATTGCTGATCACTTAGCTGAACACGCACTGCCAAACAATATTTATGTTAGCACGGATCTCCCTGATGAGAACCTCTTCACAATTGAGGATTCGATTTGGGAGCTATATTTCAACGGTGCAAAGAACAAATACGGGTCTGGTATATGAGTCATACTATGCTCACTCGAGAAGATTTTAATGTTAACAGCCATCAGATTGAATTTCCCATGTACCAATAATGTTGCTGAATGCGAAGCCTTAATAGCCGGGCTTGAGAATGCCATGATAATGAAATTCTAGCAAATACAAGTGATTGGTGACTCATTACTCGTCGTAAACCAAGTTCAAGGGATTTGGAGGGTGAAAGAAGAAAAACTCAAACCCTATCAAGAAAAGGTGGAAAAGATGATCCTACATTTTAAGAAAATTACCTTTCAACACGTGACTAGGGAAAATAATCGGTTTGTCGACACCCTTGCAACCCTTGCCTCAATAGTCGATATTCCCCTAGAAATCACCTCGCTCCCATTCTACATCAAGAACAAACATGACCCTTCCCCACCAAGGATTGAAAAAGAAATAGAGCAAGAAAATGCGAACGATGGGGAAGTGTCTCTCGTGGCTTCAGATGCGCTAGTTAAGGCAAAACCATGGTTCCACGATGTTCTGTCCACCAAAAAGGATAAAGAAGCTCTCCAAGGCTTTCCATGGGGTTCTTAGTAAGAGGTGATCTCCTATTTAAAAGGCCCTTCAATGGCGTCATTCTACGATGCCTCGATCAGCCAGAAATTGACCAAGTATTAACAGAGTTGCACAATGAAGGAGGTCATTCTGGGGCAGCTGTCTTAGCTCAGAAAATCAGGCGCCAAGGCTATTGCTGGACCACCATGGCTGAAGACTGCTGGAAGTTCGTTAAGAGGTGTCCCAAATGTCAACTCTATGGAGACCTCATCCATGCATCGTCTGTATCACTCAACTCAATACCACCCGTATGGCCCTTCTTCATGTGGTGTCTTGATATCATTGGAATGATATCACCAAAAGCCTCAAATGGCCATCGTTTTATATTAACGGCTACCGAATATTTCACCAAATGGGTAGAGGCCGCATCATTTGTTAAAATTGAAGCCCAACATATTGCCCGTTTCATGAAGAATAACATTGTATTCAAATTTGGAGTTCCTGAGTCAACAATCATCACTGACAATGGATCCAATCTCAAAAATGAAAAGGTCACTAAGGTGTGCAAAAGGTTTGGGATAACAGAGAAATTCTCCACACCTTACTACCCTCAAGGAAACGGACAAGTAGAAGCCACAAATAATAGAAAAATAATAGAAAAATAATAGAAAAATAATAGAAAAATCATAGAAAAATAATAGAAGGCGGGAAGGATTGACACGAAAAGCTAAATGACATCCTATGGGCCTACCGGACAATTGACAAGACTCCTACTGGCATGACCCTATACTCATCGGTGTATGGTATGGAAGCAGTGCTACCCATCGAGGTTCAGATACCATCCCTCTGAGTGCTTATTCACAAAAATGCAGATGAGGAACAAAAGATCGAAGCATGAATCACTGCCCTCGTTGCTTTAGATGAAAAACGACTACGAGTAATACAAAATATCGTTGCTTACCAATGTAGAATCGAGAGGGCGTATCAATGGAAAGTTATTCCTCAAAAATTCACAGAACGGGATATGGTACTCAAGAAAATCTTCCACACTCCTGCAAATCTACACCCTTTAGGCAAGTTCAAACTTAATTGGGAGGGGTCATTCGTGGTTATCCAAGTGCATGCAGGCAATTCTTACAAGAAAAAAAATCAGGAGGGCGACGAACTCAATGACCCCATTAATGCGATGTATCTCATAAAATACTACCCGTAAGGGGCTAAAAAATGTGGTGAAAACCTAAAAAGGCATCACAAAAAAAAAAAAAAAGACAACAACAACAAAAAAATGAACATGGTGAAAACTGGAAAAGGCACCGCAGGTAAAAGGAATAAAAAAATATCTCCAAGAAGGAGCTTTCGATGCAAAGCATTTAAGTACAAACAAGTACTTGAAAGTTCCAATAATACTGCAAAAGCAGACCTTAAGGATGAAGACTCTTCCTAAACCTTGCAGGTTCCCAACATAACCAACTCAAAAAGATGTAGGAGGGTGATATGAATGGAAAACCGAAGTGATTTCGAAGAACCCTGGAAAACGTCGAGACCCTCCTAGAGGAAAGCCTGGCAAGAATTCAGAGGACTCTTCATGGATCCTCGAAGCAGAGGATGAAAGTTCCAAAGGTAAAAAGACAACTTGAAGACCTCTGAGTTCTCATGATCCCACAAGAAAACCCTTTCATCATCTTTGGGTAAAACATAACAAATAAGATAACCACCAAAGGGGCCACAGGTGGCAAAACTGTAAGGCCCGTCCCTTTTCAAAATGCTTATCAAATTGACTTTTAAATTATTCATTTTAAAAAACAAAACCTTTTTAGAAAGGACTTCCTCCATCACTACAAGAGGCTAAACTGTTAGTCAATCTGGCCTCGTTCTCAAAGCCAACTTCCTATGCCTGTTATGAAGGTTTAAAACTAGTTAGGCAATCCATGGTTGTAGGAGTATAACTACCAACTACCACATATCAGAGATGGGTGAACCTCACTAATGACGAAATTGGCTAGTTTGGGAGCATTTTTTCTCTCGACTGGATTCCCTGCGGCAAAATGAGGCAAGCTCATCCATGTGTGTGCATATAATGACCCAATAACGAGAAATTCGAGATAAAAAACGCTACAACTAAGGGACTGAGTTTGTAAAATTTCAGTTTGAAAAGTGTGTGCAAAGAAAATATTCCGCTATGCTTCGACAAATCAATAGCACATGCACAAGTTAAAAGACCCCCAAACAGGGGCAATAAAAACAAAAAATAGAAGAGTGGGGGGGAAAGCATGAGAACAGGCAAGATAAACGAGAAATGGGAGAGCCATATATTTATATGTACTTCAAGGTCCACAATGATCTCCTATCACAAAAAAAAAGGACGAAGGTCACTTCTTTGATACTGAATCCTCCTCCCCTAGTGTACAACTACTTGCCTCTCCCTTCAATCTCGGTCGAACTTGCCTCAGACCCCTCGTCATCTGAGTAGACACCCGAGACTGTGACTGACTCCGAACAGAAGATGGTAATGGCACCCTCACATAAGGATTCACATCTGCTAAGAGGGGTTGGCACCTACAGCTAATAGGAATCCTGATAGTCTGCC